GTATTTCCTCAGTGACCAGCACGGATCAGCTCCAGGCATGACGAAGCGATATCGTCCTCTTTTGGAAGGCCAAACAAAGTAGTTTCGCTTTCACAACGAAACACACAGCGTCCACGGGGCGGGCTAGAGTGAGCGGAGGCCGGAGGCCTAGAGTGAGGAACGGCCGGCGGGTTACAGTGAGCAGAGGCCGGCTTGAGTGAGCGGATGCGGGCGGGCTTGTGGCACACGCCACATGTGACGACCCCAGGCTGGACTCCGCTTCGTCCACAGTGATCCCACATCGTGACGTAGACATGTTGGGGGCGTGTTAGAACGAGCCGTTTTAGGTAGGCGTGGCTGACTCTTAACTTTTATAAAGAATATCTCTTTGGATTTGAGACTTTAGTCTTTGCAACTTTACAGATCTTCTTTATGCACCAAGAGCTTGTAACACTCCAAAGAGAAAGGAAAAATTGAAATCGCATCATATGACCCCGTTAAGACTAGTGGTTGATGGCCGATGGCTGATTGGTTGGTTGCCAGTGGATACAGCATGTGATATATGCTAATAAAATGTAATCTCATACACTGCAATTAGTTTTAAAATCATTTGCTTTTATAAATATTCATAACACTTTGAAAACACGAATTGTGCATTATTCAGTGACAATGCTGTCTTTATAAGAGAGAAAAAGGATGCTTCTTTAAAAGGAATCGTTCACCCCAAAATAAAAATCTGCTGACAATGTACTTATCCTCAGGCCATCCAAGAGGAGTTTATTTCTTCATCGGAACAGATTTGGATAAATTAAACATTAAATCACTTGCTCACTAATGGATCCTCTACAGTGAATGGGTGCCGTCAGAATGAAAGTCCAGAAAGCTAAAAAATCTTAACAATAATCCACAAGTAATCCACATGACTCCAGTTCATCAATTGACATCTTGTGAAGTGAAAGCTGCATGAATCAAATCCATCATTAATGTGTTTCTAACTTCAAACTGTTGCTTCCTTTATCCAAAATATTGCTTTCTGCGGTGAAAAAGTGTTCTTGTCAGAACGAGGAGAGAAATATGCACAGATCAAGCTCAGTTTACAAGCAAAAAACAGTTCCAAACTAATATTGTGTTGTTTTTATTAGCTGTTTGAAATCTCATTCTGTTGGCAGAACTGTAGATAATCAGGTAGATAATCATAATCAGGCAGTATTGGCACCCAACACTTTGAGATCACAAAGCAATAACTGCTGGGAGGGCCTTACTGTCACGTTCACAAGGGCAAACACATCCAAGTCATGATATAACTGTTGGAAGAGTCTCAGCAGCTGCAGAAATACCCTAGTGCTGACCGTGGTGACAGTAAACAAACTCTCTTCCTCTGCTCTGCCTCTTCTCTAATGCAGGACAACAGATCTGGATCTGGATGGAGAAATTAAATATTATAGGTAGTTGTTTTCTTTTAAGATTTGAGCTGGATTGCTAAATTCTGATTCCTGCTCTGCAAAATGTAATGGTGCATCAGAGGTGTTTTTGTTTCATGTGTCCTTTGGAGTGCGAAATTGATAGATCAATGAACGTAAGTGCACAAATATAATGTTGGATGTGGATGTGGATGCTTGGATGTTTATCTACCACAATGAGTGAGATTTAGATTAATTGCTTTAAATCCATTACTGTTGTTTCTGATGTCGGCCTCCCAGGCTGAAAGATGCTGAAATGGTTGCATCAAAATGGGCACTCTGTGCTCATGAGCATGTAATTTGTTTTAAAATCCTTTAATCATCCTGCCATGTCCGAGGATCATCATCACACACACAGCTGCAAACCTTGTGGACAAATTAGTGCTTTAAGTTTCTTACAGATTTAAGCATCTCTTGGACAATTTGCTGGGACTTTACCAGCAAAATCTTTTAATTTTGCAGGAATTTTCCTCACCAGTGCACAGTAAGCTCCTTTTTTTTTTACTTAGTTGTCTGAAAGTTGTTGGACATTTATCTCTAGAACTAAAAGTAAAGAAGTCTGTACAGCTGCACATTGATGTGTGTACTTGCTTGTGGATTTTCAAGTTATGCATCCTCAAATTAAAATTGCATTTCTGACATTTGTTGTTTTGGTCAATATTTTTTATTAGGTATGTACAATATATCTGTTATGCTACGATGTCAACAAACACATGAAGATGAAGGTTTATAAAGTCTTTAATCCAACACACAGGGTAGAGTGGACGAGACCAGACAAACACTGGGGAAGAACACAGGGTTTAAATAAGAGGGAAACTAACAAGAGAATTGAACTAAACAGCTGGACATGATGACTAATTAGACACACGAGGAAAACTAGGTACAGGGCTAGTATGACGAGACAAACACAACTGTCAAACTGTGACAATATCAGTATTGTATTCGCTGAATGCATGCTCATTTAGCAGTAATCTAACACATTTAAAGTTTATTTTTAAAAACAGTCATTTAATAACACTTACTTGAATGTAATCTGTAGCAAATCTTAAAATAAACATCCATTTTTCATACTGTGCATTATAATATTGTGATGCCTAAATTCACTTGTATCAGAATTCATTTTATTTTGTAGCCTTTTATTTACAAAAATATTATAATTTACAAAGTAGTATAACATATTTATATATGTTTTTATTGGGTTTCTGCCCTAAAATGAAAAATAATAACCAGATTAATCCTTAATCCCTAATGATCCCTCATCCCTAATTTATCTAATTAATTATTAATACTATTATAAATGCTTTTTGGTGTCAGTGAATTTCTTTCTTTCCATATTTATCTGCCTTGCTCACTGGATACTTCTCATTGGCTGTTTCACCTTGCACAGATGATAACCTTCTGAGTGAGATTTAGCACAGAAGAATCATCAAAATGTGTCTGTGACCATTAGGTCACTTTGAGG